TGCAAGTTCATCAAGAGTTCATTATCATCAGAGTAGGGTCTCAAAGCTCCTTGAGAGGAGAGGTTTGTGTAGGGGTGTCACCTCCTATCTTGAGGATCATCGGAGGGTCATGAGGTTACCTATTTGGATAAAGAAAGATTCAAAAGCTTAATCTTCATCTTGAGGGTTCTTTATGGAGCTTGTATAGTCACACAATTCATCTGCAATAACCTCGGTCAATGGATGAGAAGTTAGGGTTTCATCTGGTCAACCCAAAGTCAACTGTGGACTTGAGAGGGTTCAAGACTTGGTTCTAGGTCATGAAAGCCATGGGAAGTCATCATAGGTCATCTTTAATGTTATATTGAGGTCAAATCAAGGAGATTCAAGAGTTCAAGAAGTTACTAAATTAGGGTTTCAGTTGATTTCAGTGTAAAATCCCCTCTTTTGGTGCTTAACTTCAAGGACAATTTTCACTATGACACAAGTCTTATCTCATTTTACAACAAACATGAGACTTGTTCATCATCTTTCAAGTTTTATTTTGAGTACAAGAACTCATCCATTGGGTTTGTACATCTTAAGTTATAAGGTCAACAAGTTGGTGTCATCAGATGAAGAGATTTTTGAGGTACTCAAAGTCAACCCACTTCCAAGGAATTTTTCACATAGAACCAAGTTCTTTATCATTTTTAAGTGAACATGAAAGTTGTTCCTTATTGTCTTAGATTTCCAAAAAGTATTAGAAGTCCTCATTCTCATGTGTGGAGCTCAGGTTATGATCTTCACAAGCCAAGGGTATTTTTGGAAACTTCATTATAGGTCATCCATTTCAATGCCCATTTCCATGAACTTCAAGGCCTCAAATCCAATTTTGTGCCACATGAAAGGTGTGTCACATTGTCTTAACATCATCTTTAACTCAATTTCCATGATGTTTGGTGAATTATGGGATCACTTAAGCCATAATGAAGGTGGAAACTTGATTTTTGGACATGATGTGGATTCCTTGCATTTCAAGTCACCAAAAGAGGCTATCTTTGAGCTTTTGACATTATGACTTTATCATTACATGACCATGGTGTTCTTTGTCTCATTTGGACCAACATTGAGCCATTTTTCATGCCATTTTTCAAAATAGCATACCATAAAAAGTGTTGGTACAAACTTTGTGCAAACTCATTCTTAAAGACTCAAACCACCCCATTTCATTTTAACATACCCTAATTGTTCAAATTTTGCTGACCAAGGGGGTGTACAATACCTCATAAACCGTGTGTGCATAAAATGAGTTTTTTTGGCAAGAGTGGAAAATCAAGAGAATAAGCTATTATGGGCCTGCATGGGATGCATGAACCCGTCATATTTAAGTCATAAATGAAACCCTAAGGCAAAGAGGAGAGAGAGTTACGCAGAGAGGAGAGTTTCATCAAGAAATTTTAGAATTGTCTCTCACTTAGAATCTCATTTTTCCTTGGATTTTTCTTCAACTTTTTGCTCAAATCATCATCCCATAAACATCAGAAGGAGATTGGAAGCTTGAAAGTGAAGGTTGCTCAAAGATTCAAGAGCCAACGGAGCAGCTCCGTTAGGTATTTTTCTACACTTTAAAACTCTCATTTTAGGCACTTTTCTAGGTCCATAACTGGTGCATCTGATGTCCTATATAGTATAGGCCATGTTTGAGTCATTTTCATACGTGTTTGATTCACTTTCAGTTTGAACTTCAAAACTTTGTGGCATGTTTTCACTTGGTTGGAGGGACCTTTTTCAAAATCTAATGCCATATTTGAATTCCTCGTGAAAAATCCTTTGAGAAGGTGCAAAGTGTTTCAATTTTTATGGTTGTTTTCACCCAACTTCGATGACGCCTTCCCGAAAAAGACGACAGGAGCCCTAGCTCCGGCGTCTGGTTAGATCTGAGGTGGCTTGTGAGTTGTCCCTTTGACTTGCACGCGTGTCTGTTTGAAACGGTGTGTTTCACTTGGGGATGGTTTCTAATGGCTTTGGGCTTAGGTCCATTTGCTAAACCCACCCCACCTGTTTGGCCCATTTGCGCGCTTGTGAAGGTTTTCAGTTCAAATCTGTTTTGCTCATAGACCCTCCTTTCTTGTTCATTTTCTTTTTATTTCTTTTTATTACAATTTAAGTTTTAATCATTTTAAAATAGTTTTTCTTTTCATAAAAATACCAAAAAATCAGTTTCTGTTATTTTGAGATGTTAAGATATTTTTCAAGATTTTTATTTTATTTTTATTATTTTTAATGCAATTTATGATTAAAGTGGTTTTATGGATTGCGCCTTGAATTGAAATGGATCATTGGCTCTCATTTAAATATCCCCTATGACCAAATTTTCTATTCCACTTAGGTTATGGATTGAGTTATTTTTTAGGGTTGATTTGAGGTATTAATGATCATTTTTCAATTGTTTCTCATTGGCTTTTTATGGACCCTCGATAAACACATGATAAGTGGAACACCTTGCATTGTTTTATACAATTGATGGTGCTTTGTGTTGAATTTTTCCATGAGCTTTTGCATTCTGTTTTGTGATTGATCCATCTTGTTTTGGGTATTTTATTTAGAATTTATTGGAGTCTCCTTCTATTTTTGGTGAATATCTCAAGTTCGAGTTGATTTAACCTTGTGTATGCATAATATCTTGACATATTTTCTGGGATATGATCATGAGTGATCCCTTGAGCACCTCTTAAGCCTTGTTAGCATTTGTTAACATGCTTGAGGCACTTCCTTGCATGTTTATAGGTCAATGGCATGTGTAACTTGTGTCACAAGTTTCATTTTGATCTTGTCTTTCCACTTGTTTGAAGTTTGAGATGTTTAGATGGACTTTGGTCCTATAATTGAACAAGATCATTCTTGTGATTGCCTTCCATTTTGACTTTGAATTTGGAGCATTTCATTTGTATTTCACTTCTGCCCTTAGTGGTTTAGTACTTGTTCATGATGATTTGGTGTTGATGATTCCACTTTGAGTTTATCATGAACATTTGTGCTCCTTTTGCATTTGCTTGCTTGCTTTGTTTTACTTGATCATGTACAAGTGTTTGGTTGAGTTGAATAAGATGTGGTTGCTTCCCCACACTCTTTCCTCTTTCACTTCTTTGTTTGTGTTTCTTAGGATAGCACATTTCTCTCTTGATGATTGATGGTAGTTGGTTGTAGGAGCTTGCTTCTCTCATTTCATCTCATCTCTTGTTGACTTGTCCAAGTTGACTTGTGTTTGTCTTGTTGCATCTTCTCATGTTTGCATTTGTGTTTGCATTCCATAAGTGCATTGAGTTGTTTAAGTCTCTCATCTCTTTTCATCTTTATTCTGTGATTGATTTGCTATGTGTTTACTTGTGCTTTTTGCCATGATCCCTTAGGATTCCTAGTCCCTCTGTTTAAGATGGGAGTAGGAGAGACATTAGGCTTTCAATCCTTTGCATGATAACATTAGGTAGTTCCCTTTTCAATCCCAACTTTAGGATCACATTGCATGTTAACATTAGGGTTTATTAGTTCCCCTTAGAGTCTTGTGTCTTCTCTTCTCATCTCATAACTCTTTAAGATACTTAATAAAGGTTAACAATTGTTGTACGCTACGAGCCTTAAGTACATAAGGAATTATGAGTAGAGGGCCTCCTCTCACATTGTCTAGAGTGTTTAGCGTATGCCCTTTTGGCAATATGCGACACGCATTCGCTCTTATGTCATTGTCTTTAGTGCAATAGAAGTTACAAACTAACTCAATTCCACGTCTTCTTTAAAACAACACAAACAAAAGGTCAAACCTTTTCATCCTTCGGGATTGTTTGGAAACTTAATTTTCAGAAAGAGTGTGTTAAGTTTCTGTTCTATCGCAAACAGGCGTCGTCCCTAACTGCTAGAACGGATATTTAACCCTACTCATTAAAACACTTGAACCAACCAGTGGTCGTGTCATCCCGAACTACGTTTGCTCTGATTTCTCATACCAGATGAGGATACGTTGGCACAAGATGATGATGTCTTGGCGAGCAGTCTTCCCCCCTTTCACACGTAGTTTCCCGAACTACGTTGACTCTGACTTTCCCATTAGACGAGAGAGTACGTAGGCATAGGACGGCGATGTCCTATCGAGTCTGTTCTTTCTCTTCACCCCCGTTTAGCAGTAGAATTAGATAGTTTTCACCCATAGATTATACAACAAGCATGGACCCCGTTGAGTACAACGGACGTGAGGGGTGCTCATACCTTCCCCTTGCATAACCGACTCCCGAACCCTAGATTTGGTTGCGATGACCTTGTTTTTCCATTTTTCTTAGGTTTTCTTTAATTGTTTCATTTCCCTCTCTTTGGGATAAATAACGTTCGGTGGCGACTCTTATGTCTAGTTTGTCGGCCCTTCTTTCTCACAGTAGCGACAATCCTAACACTAAGACATGCTATTTATAATAATCAAATATAACTGCCATTAACGACTAACAAACAAAATCAAGACAAGTGTCACTATACATGCCTTCAAATCATAGGGACGTTCCATGTGTCTTTCTTAAAAACGGACATTCCCTCTTTTATTTGAATTCAAATGAACTCGTCGAAATACCTTCAACGACACTTTTTTCTAATCGGACCTTTCAACTGATGAGGAATATCTCTAAGTCCATAACATAGACTCTCCTGGCGAAAGGACACCTTCGACTCCCATTTCAAAACATGGCTTCATTCGAAGTAATTAGATTTCTTCAGAAACTATATTTGTTACTTTCAATTTCATCCAAGCGTCAAAATTAGGAGCCAACAGGAACACCAAAAGCCTATATATATTTTTCAAAAGAACCGGACAGGGTTATTGCAATTAACGAAATCATTGATTTTGGTGGAAAGAATAAGAGAGAATGTATTTTAGTGAAAGTGGATTTTACCACGGTCTTTGATTACGTTGCGTCGATTACTTGAGGTACATGCTTGGCAGAATGACTTTCAGCTTTCGATGGTTGAATTAGATGAAGATGTTGGTGTTTACTAGTTCCATGTCGGTTCTAATCAATGGCAGCCCGACGACGGAATTTGAGATGTATAGAGGTTTAAGGCAAGGCGATCCGCTTTCACCTTTTTTGTTTCTTATAGTGGCAGAAGGTTTGGTGGGGTTAATGAGAAATGTGGTATCTCGTGACAAATTTCAGGGTTTCAAGTTCAATGATTTTCTGCATATCAAACTTCTCCAATTTGTCGATGATACGATTTTGGTTTGTGATGGTAAGCTGAATAATTTATGGACCACTAAGGCTATATTGTGTGGTTTCGAACTTAAATCGGGATTGTGTGTGAATTGGAATAAGAGTAAAGTTTATGGGATTAATCTTCATGCGGATGTTCTACGGGTTGCTTCTAATTTTCTCGCGTGTGCAGTCGGTTTAGTCCCTTTTAACTTCTTGGGCATTCAAGTGGGATTCAACCCAAGAAGGAAGGCAACTTGGACTCACTTAGTTGATAAGGTGAAGAAGAGATTAACCAAGTGGAAGGGAAAGCAAATGTCAATAGGTGCCAGGGTGGTATTGTTGAATGTCATCTTGACGAATCTTTCGATATTTCAATTCTCTTTCTACAAAGAGCCCAAGGGAGTGATTCAATATTTAATTAAAATTCAGAGATCTTTTTTATGGGATGGTACTAATTTCAAGAATAAGATTGATCGGGTGAGTTGGCCGACTGTTTGCAAACCGAAAATCTCGATGGATTAGGGGTTAAAAAATGTGAGAAATTTAACTTGGCATTGCTTAGTAAATGGAAGTCGAGAGTCATCACCGAAATCGATTCTCTCTGGTTCAAAATATTAGCATTTCGTTATGGTGGCGCAAAAGCACTGATGAAAGATGATTCTATTGTGTCGACGAGAAAACGTAGCTCCTTTTGGTGGAAATCAGTGTGTGCTCTGAGGGTTCTAACATGTCCAACTGGTTCTCTTTAGTAATTTCTACGAAACTTGGGGTTGGGAATTCCATACGGTTTTGGAAGCACACTTGGTTAGGCCATTCTCCTTTTATGCTTCTTGCCCCGAATTTATATAGATTTGCTTTGAATCCTAATGTTTTGGTGAGGGATGCGGGTGATTGGTGCGACAGATAATGGGTGTGGAATTTTCAGTTGGTGGATCACTTTATGGAATGCATTGAGGCAGTGCAGTAATTTCAAATTTTAACAAAAATTCTGCAGTTGGTGCGGCTGAACTGTGCTGATTTGGACAGACATGTTTGGTGCAAAAATGGCGGTGGTTTTTCGGTTAAAAATAGTTATGAAGTATTGGATGCTACTGATTGGGAGGCACAGGTGATCGAGGCTAAAATTTTGCAGGCTATCAATGATGTTTGGAAGTGGAAAATTCCTTCCAAAATTCAAAATTTTTTGTGGCGACTTTTCTTTAACAAGCTTCAAACCAAAGATCAATTGCATAGGCGGAAGGTTCTTACTTCTACCCGTGATTTGGTATGTCCTTTATGTTTCTTAGAGGATGAAAACATTGAACTCCTTTTTTTTTTGCTTTGTGAGTTTGGTTGTAAAGTTTAGAGATTGGTTTGTTCTTGGTTGAATTTTGATTACCCCTTCAGTTTCTTTAAGTCAGGTAGATCATTGTAAAACATTTGTGAAGGGTTTGGGATCGAAGGTCTTTATCGTGAAAATTGGTAAACAACCGATGACCCCCAAAAAATTGGTTTACTTACAGGATCAACCAGGGAATCCTAGGACATAGCTATCATTTAAACTATTTTAGAAATATCAAGAACGCTTCGACAGTGCTCATGCTTGTTTAAAGTTTTAAAAAGATAAACTTTATAGAATTATAAAGTTGCAATAAAGAAACTTCAAAGTAAAATTGCAATGAAGGAATAAATAGTAAATTGAAAATAACTTTCAATAGAATAGAATGTGGTGTTTCAGACGTACATTCTCAGCGAAAACTCTTTTCTCAATTAACTTAGATACTTTGGATGATTTTGTGAGTATTTGTACAAAAATTAAACACACGGAAATCCTGTGCACTAAGACTCTTATTTACACAACCTCGAAAATAATTGTCATTAACAGTCATTTCTCTAGAAAATGACACGTTATCCTCTGCATGTCTTCAATTCATCACAGTCTCCCACGCGTCATTTACAAGAAACTGATAAGAACAAAAGACAATTTTTATCCTTATTTGAAATTTAAATCTTCATCGAACGTAAGCCATAAATAGCCTCCGTCGAAATTGTCATCCAGACTTAGAAATATTTCTAAGTCTCGTTCCAGCACATCCTTCTCATAAAGGACCACATTTCGACTGGAATCTCCAATAGCACTCTTGTCGAAGTTAAAAACGTTTCAATAATTTTTATTTTTACTTATCATATTCAAATCAAAACCTTTGGCATTGAAATTCTTAGCTAACCGGAGGGTATGCGAAAGATAGGTAGGTTGGTTTGGTTGTAGACTTGTTGGAGTATTTGGGTGTTTAGAAATAGGATTCTTTTCAAAGAAGCGAGCATGGAAGCCAGTGAATTGTTGTATTTGGTTAAGTTTTGAACTTGGGAATGGTTTTCTTTTTCTGTTGATATTGGAAAAGATATGCTTTGGTTGGGGTGGTGTAGGCTTTCGGGTTCTTGTATTTAATTTATGTTGTTGTTTTTTTCCGGTTCTTTGTTCTCGTGTAGTTGGGTTGGAGTACCCCTCTTAATTCAATTTGCTTTTTTTTTTAAATGTAGTAGTTTGATTTATTTGTTGTAATTAAGTCTCTTTATATAATTGTACATTCTAGGGTTCAATGTTAAATTGTTTTTACACATGTATAAATCATACATTTTTGTTAAAATCAATGCAATGTGTTTTCAGTTAATTTGTTAAAATTTTGGATCAAGAAACACACGATAGCACGATTCAAATTGTGTAAAGTCTCGATTCATAATATTTCATTTTTTAAAATTTTTGAAATCTTTGAAGAGTGATTTGAATCATTAAAATAACCGACTTGAATCAATCTAAATGTGAAAAATTAGGAATTTCATTATGTCGACTGGATTCGAATCACGGAATAAGCTAACACGAATCAAACATAGTTTTGAAAAATAGGTTTTTACTATGTGCATTTGATCTGTATCATAGAGGTTTTGATTCGAATTATGGCATAAGTTGACTCGAATCAATTATAGTTCTGAAAAAACAGGTTTTTTGCTTTTATGCATTTGATTCGAATCATTGAAAAATTTGACTTGGTTCATAGAGGTTTTGATTTGAATCATGAAAAGGCTTGACTCGAATCAAATCATGCCTGCAAATCTTAGATTTTGGTTTTCTTAAATTGATTCAAACCATAGAGTTGTGTGACTCGAATCATATAAAGCTTGATTCGAATCATACAGACAAATTTTATGGGTTTTTAAGTCTTGATTCAAATCATTCACTCTCTTGACTCAATTGATACCATTTTCCCTTGACTTAAATCAAATGGGTAATTTCTCTAATTTTTGTACCTTATCTCCAACACATATGTAAATCATTATTCCAAATCTCTCTCATAACATTCTATGATTTAGATCACATGATACATTTTTCTCTCAAACGTTTCGAAAGCATTTTTAGTTTGCAATTGAAATCTCTCTTCATATTCAACCACTTTCATTTTCCATTGGTGTTTGGATTAGCTTATCAACCTAGGGTGTAAGATTTGTGTAAGGGGGTTAGTTTTGTGATTAACGCTTTGTGAAGATATTTGAAGGTTTCAAGGTTGGCATATTTGTGTTGTTATGACTGTCATACCCCAAATTTGTCCTACCTGTATATTACCCTCATTTGTGTTTTTGGTCACTAACCATTATTAACAAAAAATCCAAAAAAAAATTGTTGCTTCTGCTTTCATTTTCTTGTTGCCTAAGTCCGTTGTTGCAAGGTTGAATTGGGTGTTAGGCAAGGGTATTAGGACAAATGTGTATGTAAAGATGGTTGAGATTCAGTAGAGTTTGACCTAATCTTGGTCAAACAAAAGGGAGTTGCTCCAGTTACATGGCATATGTATTATGCATCAAGTTATCAGGTTGTGGAATCAGTTCCTTTTCAATAGGGTTTTGGTGCAATTATAGTGCAGTTCACATATGACAAGTCATTATCTTCTGATTATAAGGCATTTGTTGCTCTTTTGGTTCAATGTGAAAACTTTGATTTATCAGTACTTAATTAGCCAAATTTAAAAATTGTTTTATTAGTGGTTTCATTTTTTTAAGGTTCTAATTCATCTGATGATACATATTACTTCATTTTCATTTTCTCAGGATTAATTCAAATATTGTTGGAGATTGATTTTTAGTGCAATTTGTGGATTCAATTCAAGTGTGGTGTTAATTTGAAAAATTCAACCAAGGTTTTCAACATAGTTCAAGTATGAAAAAATAATCCAAGTTCATTTTACTACAAATTCAAGTCAAAATGAAGGTGCAAAAATAAATGAATCCAAGCTTACATAGGAAGCCCATATCACATTTCAAAGGTCATTGCAAGGAAAATAAAAAACCCATTCAACCCATATCATTGTGCAAAAGGCCCATGCTAATTTTAAGTTCATATTACAGGTGATGTTTGCCACAACAAAAAAGAATCAACTTCATGAAATTACAAGCCACATGAGGATACTATTACATTATGTCCCCACCAAAGCCTTCACGCACATGTACCATGACTTCTATACATGAGCCTTTCCAAGTTGTTGGTTGTAGCAAAAATTTAACACATGAGCCACACTATACTAAGCCACATGCGTAACAACCAGCCATGAATAAAGTTGCCACCAGCCTACACAAAACATCAAGCACATAATAGACATCACAAATTGCTAAGCCACAAAAATCTCCAAGCTTCACGCACATGATTCTTCCTAAGCCACGATTTCTACGCGCGTGAGCCTAAGCTTCAGGCCACCACCATTTCCCAACCAAGTTCACAAGCCACACTCAACACGATACAATTCACACCAAGCCAACATTCTCCAAGCCGTTATACGCAAACAAAAAAACTTTTCCAAAAGCCATCAAGCCAAACAATTCACACACACACACTCCAAATAACCAACTTGTACGACCAAAACCAACGCACAGAACCACATCACGATACAAAAACAAACATTTTAAACAACATTTAAATAAATTCCAAATGCAAAGAATACCACCAAAATGACTCAACCAAATTCCTCCACTCTTCTATAAATATGAACTCACTCTCACTCTCATCTTCAAGCTCCAAAGCCAATTCTACCCAACTCATTTTTTTCTCAACCTCAAACCTAAATCATAACCTGCTGCAAACCTTCATTCTCACAAACCAAGCCTCTGCTCAAATTGTCGCACACATTCAATCTACAACAACAACAACCCAACGTGAATCCTCTTCAACTCACAAACTAAACACAAACCTAAACAAATATGAAACAGAGAGGGAGATACGAATTTGAGAAGAGATATTGAGAGGAACAAAATTAAACTGAACCTGAGCATAGCGAATAAAGCTTGAGCGAAACAGGACTTTGAAAAAAATGAAGGTGAACCGAATGAAGCAGCGACGCGAGAGAGAATTGCAGAAAGGTATGAGAAGAATGACTTTGGAAGAGTGCTTTAGTGAAATTGAGATGGATCTGAGATTTAGAGGGAGTTTGAATTCAAGTTCACATGACTTATTAAGAAAATAAACTGAACTGGAGTTCAAATAAAATCGTCAGATACTATTAATTAAATTCAATAATCATTCAAATGTAACACATTGATACCACAACAATAAAACTACAAACCAAGAACTTCCCAGATTAAACATTAAAATTAATTTAGAACAACACAGAATGGAGATATGATTAGGTTGTTGAAGCTTTTTCATTCTTCATAATCATATGAATTGCTTTAGATTTATCTTCTTCAACCATCTCCCTAAGAATATCATCTTCGATCTTTTCGGCCTGCCATTTCGAAGGATCTTCGACAAACTCTTGGCTAAAGATCATACAAGAAATCCACTCTTTCCATACAGTTTTTCTGTGTTTATCTTCCTCCATCGATCCGGTTGTCAATAACTGATACACGTAAACCATTTTCTGCTGACCCGGACGAAAAGCGCGCGCAATAGCTTGCTTTGTTTTGGAAGGATTCCATTCGGAATCCAAAAATATCACCCTAGATGCTGCTGTTAGACTTATACCTTCAGCACAAGCATTGATTGAAGCAAGAAGTACCTTCGATCTTCCGCGAGGATTTTCGAATTTATCTATCACTTTGCCTCTTTCAAATAAGTCTAGTTCGCCGGTTAGTAACAGAATCTCCTTACCGTTTTGCCACTGAAAATACTTCTCGAATAACTCGATTAAAAACCTCACTGGTGCGAGATTGTGACAAAAGATAAGAACCTTTTCGTTTTCCACCACGCGCGAGATTAGGCTCAGAACAAATCTTACTTTGGAGCCTTTTCTCAGATCGAATTTGCTTGTTTCTAGCTTCTTTAACTCTTCATCGCCGAAAAACTTAGCTGCACATGCTGCTGCTGTTTTGATCAACCACGGATGTATCGATCCGAGTGTTATCAGAAGTTCAACCTCGAGAAGGTAACTAGTGGACTTAGTCATTTTCTTCTCAAGTTTATGTATAATCTCGTATTGTTCATCGCTCGTGTTCATGAGCAATGTATAGATTTGTAAACCAGGAAGAGTATCAGAAGAATTTCCACTGTCGTAAACATCAATGAAACCAGTAGTGATTTTTCGCAGCAAGTGTAGACCGAGCATTTTTTCTTCATCGATATCCGAGTTAATTTTCTTTTCAATGTTATCCAAGAAAAATTTCCTCGCTCTCGCCTCAAGTAAATGCGGTGCTTTCTTCACTATTTCTCCGTTTCTTCTGTATTTAGAATCTAACTCTCGGAGAACTTCGTGAACAAATTTCGGTCTAGCTAAACTAAGCGTGTTGAAATATTCGCACAAGTTGTTCTGAAACAATGTGCCTGAAAGTAGTATTCTCAATTCTGTTGGAAGTTTCATTAAACATTTCCTCAACCTTGATTTCGTGCTTCTAGGATTGTGTCCTTCATCAAGTATCAAGATTCCCGGGTTTTCTCTCAATGCTTTTGCCATGTATTTTCTGTGTGCAAACTTCGATTCTTCCGATCTCATTAACGAGAAAAACGAACTATAGCCCATGACAAGGACACTAGGGTGTGAGTTCCATTTTTGTATCTTGTTGATACAATCCAAAACATGTTTGACATCACTAGTAGGTTTTCGAACTCCGGGAAGAATCGTTGATTTTAGCATCGTTAAATCTCTCGAGGTTCGACGGCCGTGAATAAGATACACTGGCACAGGAATCTTCCATTTCTTGAACTCTTTTCGCCATGTGTAGAGTGTGGTTTTCGGAGCAAGGACTAATGGTCTTTTCCCTGGAAACAATTTCAAGTAACTTGCGAGAAAAGAAATGATGAGAAAGGTTTTTCCTGCTCCCGGAGCATGAGATATAACACAGCCACCACTTGTTTCGGAATTTTCTTTCATCAGTGCCGGTTCCATTGATCCTGCAATGTTTCGCCAAAGAAACTCAAAAGCTTTCTTCTGGTGTGCATGCATCTTTTCTTTGAGTTCTGGAATCAATTCCCAAACATTTTGATTTTCGTTCGATATTGGTTCATCAAGATCATTAGCATGAGTTCTGAATAGATCCTTGTTATAAACTTCATCAACTTTCGGCTCGGATTTCTCTTCCTTATCTTCTCCACTGCATTGTTTCTCATCTTTGTGCCATTTCGAACTTTCCATCTATCATTATATATAAATTAACTTATCAGAAAGATTCTCACTGCAGAATATTTTGTACTATATAGTGTATCATAAACAACAATGATTTGTTCGAATATCTCTACGCTATAGTCGACATTAAATTGAGGTAAGGTTTTTCATTCAACTTACAATGGGTTCAGAAACGTCCCGTATTGCGGTTTTCACAAAACCACATCGGATGCAGTATATTCCGATTTCTTCATCCAATCTGAAATCATGTTCACAAGTTTCCTTGGATTCTTTCTCGGTATCAGTCGAAACCTCAGCAGCATTCGAACCCTGATATGGAATATAATAGTTGAACAAAATCAGTCTTTAACCTTAGAAAACAAGATAAAACCAAAATAACAAAAAAGAAATTGTCCCATACCTCATTCCCATTAAGAAGATAACTTGATGTCAAAGCTGTATCCATTTCTTGCCACAAGGCAGCCAAATTCTCAGGACTCTCTTCCTCCTCGTCATCGCTTGATACGTTTTCTTCCTCCTTCTCCTCCAACTTGATTGTTTCCTGCCACGGCTCGTTGACGTTTTTCTCTTCTTCAATTGGTGGCAGACTATCGAAACTTTTCATATACGTATCGATTATTTCCTTGGAGGCATCGGCGTTTGACGTTCTACTGCCTTTATGATGCTGTTGTTCATGAATCTGACTTATGTTTGTCCAATGAAATCTTTTTGTTTGAGCACCTTTTTGGAAACGGATCCCTTCCCATTTGTTTCCAAAATCGATATCGTCCCAACCATGATGAAGTTGCTTCCTCTTAAGATTTTCTCTGCAATAACTATAATAACGTCCCAAAGTAACATTATCATCGACTTCTTCATTGCACGATATTGCAGACTGATCATTGTAGGGAACCAAATTCAGCGCATCAGCATCGTTATTCTTTGCTTTAACAATGTCAATAGTCAAATGATTGTATTTTGAAGAAATTTCATCTCCATGATCATTTTGTTTGGCATCACCTAACTTTCCTTCACTGGTTTTTTCCGCCTTATTAACCTTTTCGTCACTTTCACTATCATCCTCTTCTGAATCTGAATCTGAAGAAGATTTATCATTTTTTTTCACATAAGATCCTCTCTTGTACGGCCATGTTCTAAAGCTACCAACTTCCAACTTCTCAACCGCACAGTCTACATAACGTTGGGGCTGTACATTCCTACGTTTCGAGCGTCTTAAACCTCCAATCTCATTAGACGGCATTGGGAGCGCTTCATCTTCTTCACAATCATAATCATGAAACGCATCAAATTGAGAAATAATAGGTACTAGTGATCCATTTTTAAGTTTGAAGTTCACAACATCTATCAGAAAAGGACTAGTAACGGTATCATTTCCCATAACTTGATACGCAAGCTTGTTTTGAAAAGATCTTATACTGAACGAAACCTTCTTTAGAAAAGACGTCATAACGAACCATGAAAGATCAGATAAAAACTTCCCGAAAATTAATCTAGATTGCGATAATGAAGAGCAATCTTCCGATAAATCCCACCTATAAGGCTTAACTTCAGAACTCTTAGTTTCTTTTAACAAACCTTCAGAAGTATTATGTTGAAGCCTCTGGAGGATAAAAATTTGGTCGATTCCAATTGAGTTATCCTCTTTACTAAGAGTTTTCATCTCGGTTCCAAGTGAACCTTGATCATCATAGAAGTTCACATAAAACTGACACGAACATTTATCAGATTCGTCGTGAGGTTGTCTGTGTATGGAAGTTATCCTAGCATCAATCCACATCTATAATTCACAAAAGATAAATATCAAGAAATTAAAGATCAACAAATAAACGCATACATACATACATACACCGATTTATAATTAAAAAGATTGAACTTACTGGAAAAGGACTTAATTGATACGAGTTATCATCATGGTGACGAAAGCCTAATAGCATAGATATGTCAATTCCAGATCGTAGAAAGTAGGAGCAATCAGATGAAGTAGCTTTTCTTGATCCTATCCGAATATCAGAAGACGAGGACAAAGGAGTTTGAATCTGTTGAGAATTCATGAAGTGTAAGGTAGTTTTTCCGAACTCAACTTCGATAAGTTTCACAGGTTGCCATGAGCCAGACAGTACTGCTTCAAATGCTGTTTATAAAAAAGAATTAGAGAAAACATATATAGTGACTCATTTACAATTCAAAATGAGCTTTGTTATTTACAGAATTGGAGTTTGATCTTCAACTACGTGTATGGCCACATAATATGACAACAAATGATTTCAATGATGCAAATCTTCCCATAAAAAATTAAAATTTCAAAACCCTAAATGTTAATTTGTTTCAAAATCTAATGAAAAATCTTAATTTTAACTTTCAAAGACACGGTGACAATTTATAGTTTATAAAATTTAAATATATAATTATGCCCCAATATTCGTCACGCATACACATTCACACATACACAATCACGCATACACTTACCATATAACACAATGAATTCTAAAAATTTCATTGGTAATTTTTCACATATGGTTATTCTTTCTCAATTTCATGCATGTATATAGATCCAGGAACATAAACGATAAGACTTACGATAATCAGCATCAAATGGATGCTTCCATTGATGTAAATTCCTTTTTCCCGGTGCCATTTGAATTCAGCTTTTAACACCTAATAGAGCTGAATGGTCTGAAAAACACAAACATAAAAGATCTGTTCATGGCATCATAAATATATTTAAAATTGCACTAGTTGAGACAAGTTTTTAACGTTAAGACCAAACGAGATGAATCAAATGAAAGCCAAGATCAACGTAACATGAAGTGAAACATAAAACATAAATCAAGAGAATAAACACGTGAAGGGTGCAACAAAGGGAAAGAGAAAGAAAGAGTCATGATAATAACTGGTAAATAATGTAGATGACAATAATGGGGTGAGTGAAGAAAGAAAATCGTGAAAATGGATAAAAAGACCTTAAATTTCGTGCAGATTCATAAATTCCGTGCAGATTCATATGAGAGAGAGAGTGAACGTTGAGAAAGTGCGCTATTTGATAGGCCGGAATATAGGAAAAGAGGCATCGATTATTACATAGACCAATCAAAATACACAACCTTATTTATTCAAAATTAAAATATAAAAAACCTTCTGGACCAAAAAAATATCTACATAAACGAAACAACCTTAGAAGATCAATACTCCATAGTAACGAGCAATAATACTTTTTATTAATATATCTAATTGATTCAATTGAGGTCTTGATCCAATGCACTTATTTTTCTTGGAAAAAAGTTAATTTAAAATTATTCTTTTTTTTGTATTTTCTTTATATAATATCAATTTGTTTTAGTCAAATTTGCCTTTTTTTTAGGTCTAAATATTTATCTCATTTGACTCAATTGGGGTTTTGAACCAACACATCTGTTTTGATTGAAAAAGAATATAATTTAATAAAATTAAATATATTTCATTTGCATATATTTTTAACATAATATTGATTATATATATATATATATATATATATATATATATATATATATATATATATATATATATATATATATATATATATATATATATATATATATATATATATATATATATATATATATATATATATATATATATATATATATATATATGGAATATATACTATTTTCTTAAAAAACACTAATATATTTCTTTAGTAAAACACTAATGCTTAATAAATATAATTCGTTTTAGTCAAATTTGCCTTTTTTTTAGGTCTAAATATTTATCTGATTTGACTCAATTGGGGTTTTGAACCAACGCATCTGTTTTGATTGAAAAAAAATATAATTTAATAAAATTAAATATATTTCATTTGCATATATTTTTAACATATATATATATATATTAATGGAATATATACTATTTTCTTAAAAACACTAATATATTTCTTTAGTCAAACACTAATGCTTGATAAATATAATTTAATAAAATAATGAAAATTTGTTTTACTCTGAACTCATTTTTTAGTCTTTAAAACATATAAAACAAATTCCGAATATAAACAAATGTTAATTTTTATAATAAATAATAACTTAATTCTTATTTTTTTACGCTTTATTTGATTGATTAAGAAATAGAGGAAAAATGGGAAGAAAAAAAAGGTAAATAATTATTTAAAAATCAGCTATTAAAGAAAATATGTACATTTATAAATTGATATAAATGCCAATAATCAAATGTAATAAAAATAAGATTTAATAACAATTTTATTTCTCCTATTTAATAAATAAATGAGACAAGTTTGTGATCTTTGCAAATAGTTTTGTTTAACTTTTTTTATAACATTTTTGTGGCAGTCCTAGTCACTACTGATTCATCCTTGTCATTTTTAATGATTGTCATTTTTTATTTTGGCACTATTTGTATCAAACTAACCCATTTATTGTCGACTAAATAGAGCACAGCGGCTTTAAGTCATATGGCAAAGGTAATCATGAAAAATGTCCATGGCAGGATAACTACCTGGATCACGGCGACTCCAACCCTATAGTTAGGATAAAGGAAAAGGATCTAAGGTTAGACTAAAGGGTAAGTATAGTTAGGATAAAGGGTAAGGATCTAAGGTTAGACTAAAGGGTAAGGACCTAAGGTTAGGCTAAATATGACATGGCAGTTATCAAGAAGGTTCCTTTCCTTTGGAACCAGGGAATAAGCAATCCGGGGACGCGGAGATGAACCTCAAGTATCAATAGCAATATATACAATAAATGCAGATCAGTCAAAAACTCAAGATCTATGACATCGAAATTGGGATTTTAACCGTAGTCAAAGACAAGAATTAAATTCACAAATAAATATAAAAAATTAATTAAAAGAAATCAAAGATTTATCAAGGTTAAATTAAGGATTAAATAAAAATCTAAATAAGTCAAAATTCTAAATAATAAATAAAAACTAAATAGCTAGATAAACTAATTAAATTAAAAACTAATTGATTAAGTCTAAAAAAACTAACTAAATTAATTCTAAAAACTAAATCTAATCCTAAATATATAAAACTAATGAATTAATTCTAAAGACTAATTTCTAGTTCAAAATTAATTAGATAAAAATAAATAATTAAATTCTAATCAAAACCAAATAATTAAATCTAAATAAAACTAATTAAATAACTATATAGCTAAAATTAATGAATTCTAGTAAAACTATTTAATTACTTAGATCTTAATAATAATGAAAAAATAAACTCTAATTAAAATTAATTAACTAAAGACTAAATCCAATTAAAAAAACTAAATAAAAAAAACTTAAATAGATCTAACTAAACAAGAAAATAAATTATAATCAAAACTAATAACTGATAAAATAAAATAAAATGGGTGCAGTCTGAAATAGGCCAGGACTTGGAAGAGCCCATTTACTTCAAATAGGTGGGTCGGAAGATCCAAATGGACTCAACCGACCCGGATGGCTCAATGATAACCTGAATGCCCATCGTTCCAAAGCAAACAAACAAAAAGAAGAAAAACTAACAGAAACGGTCTCTTTCTTGATTTCACGCCACTCTCTCTGATCTCACAGGTTCTTCTCACTCGGAAACTTCTCGCCCCCCCCCCTCCTCAGTTCTCCCTCACTCGATTTCCACCCTCGTTTTCCCCCTTTCTTTGATTCTCGATTGGGTTTTTGGGTTGAAAGGGTAGGTTGGAAGAATGAAGCTTTTGAGATAAAAGTTGAAGATGAATGAAGGGTGAAACGATTAAAGTTAATGGTATCAATAAGAGGTTTTGGAGCAGATTATTTTGTTTGATTGTGGCAAGGTTTTATTATGAAGGGTGTGCATCGTGGCTTGTAGCAGGGTACGGATGTAGGTGTGACAGCAGAGTAATTTTGTTCGGTTTTGTTCTTGCTGTAGAGATAAAGGTGGTCTTTTTTTTTTACAACAATGAATAAGGCAATGAAGTAATAATAATAATAATAAATGATAATAATAAATAAAATAATAATAATAAAATAAAATAAAATAGAAGAAATAAAAGTACAGGCTTCATATATATTAATTTGAATATTGAATCTAAATTTAAAATGAAAATTGATTATTATTAAAAATGTGAAAGGAAAATGTACCAAGAATAAATAATCTTCAAACTAAACAAATGACCTAAAATTCATAAATAAATAAATAAAACAAAGTTCTAAATTTGAAAAAGAAATTTTAACTAATGATCTGACCTGATCAGAAGGGGACCATTGACTTATCACACGCAGAAGGGGACCATTGACTTACCACACGCCGTCGATCTGCTGCTTCTTGTTCACCGGTGTTGAGAAGAGAAAAGGGTAGGAAGAGAATATCTGACCCTCTTGGGGAAGAGGATATTTATAGAGAGACCTCAGCGCTGGACCAACGGTCACTTGTGTTGGGCTGGATTGTCAGGCCCAACCCAGGTGACTGCTAGGGCTTACGTGGCGTAGTGAAGACCGGAATGTGGTCTTCGCCCTAGTTCAACTGCTCTGTGAACTCCGGAAAGTGGGTTGACATGCTCTTTCAGAAGTGGACAGTTAGTTGATGACGTGTCCCCTCGGAGGGGAGCACGTGGAGAACGTGTGAATGACACGTTGTTCTGCTCGACAAGGGAGAAGGTTCTGCCCACGGAGGGGCCATTGTCTGCCCGACGGGAACCATGTGCTCGACGGATGTAGCCCAAGTTGGGTTGGGCCTAACTAAGTATCATTGGGCTGGGTCTGCCCGGTCAAGCCGGAGCCCAGCCAGAACAGTAACTAAATTAGAAATAACTAAAAAACATATTAAAATATAGACTAAGTTGAAAAATAAATTAAATTAAAATATGGAATGATAAAATAGACTAAATTGAAAAATAAACTAAATTAAAAAGATTGAACTTACTGGAATAGGACTTAATTGATATGAGTTATCATCATGGTGACGAAAGCCTAATAGCATAGATATGTCGATTCCAGATCGTAGAAAGTTGGAGCAATCAAATGAAGTAGCTTTTCTTGATCATATCCGAATATCAAACGACGTTGACAAAGAAATTTGAATCTGTTGAGAATTCATGAAGTAAGGTAGTTTTTCCGGACTCAACTTCGATAAGTTTCACAGCTTGCCATGAGCCAGACAATACTGCTTCAAATGTTGTTTATAAAGAAGAATTAGAGAAAACATATATAGTGACTCATTTACAATTCAAAATGAGCTTTGTTATTTACAAAATTGGTTAATAATGTACACAATTAGAGTGTGATCTTCAACTATGTGTATGGCCATATAATATGACAACAAATAATTTCAATGATGCAAATCTTCTCATCAAAAATTAAAATTTCAAAACCCTAAATGTTAATTTGTTTGAAAATCTAATGAAAAATCTTACTTTTAATTGTCTTTCAACTGTATAGGTCTTTCAAAGACATTAGTTTACAATTGCAATGTGATTTAAAATCACTTCTGACCAACATCATATAGTTTAGGTCATTGTTGTTCCATTCTTTTTCACTAAAAATAAAAAATTTAAGTTCTCAAAAATAAGAAATACTTATTTTTCAGATGCAATAAAAAATCTTAATTACAAAATTCTCTCAACAGTCCTAACCCTAATCCTTATTGCACCAATCGTAATCACTACGAGTGTCACGCATACACAATCACGCCGC